CTGGGGAAGTCAGCAGCCTGCGCATGACGCGGAACCTTTAAAGGGTAGACGGGGGAAATTAGAATGGAACGAGGTCTGCAGATTTTCTGTACGTCGTAAAAAAAACATGGCGTTTTTGTTGTTTGTATTAGAGCTTTGGATATTGGAGTATTCTGCGGGTTGAAAGCTGACAAAAATATGCTGATTTTCATGCTGAGGGACATGACTGCTTTGCGAGGAAAGGGTGTGTTGTCATATGAATTGCCAACTGTCTCACATTTCTGCAGTGGAGACGCATATAACCTTCTCCATTGCTGCCAGCTAGACACTGTCCCCTTGTGCGTAATGAGTCAACTCGACGTGAGTATTTTACTGCCAACGCGGATGTGTCAGAAGGACATGGGTGATGTTGCGGCCACACTACCAAGCAATTGCGCATTTTGCGCGTTACCTGTTCATTTCCCTCGCGGTGGCCGCCGCGCAGCGACTGCGGTAGTCTGTGCGTGTCATTCTGCCTCCGGCCATGGCGCCGGGCTGGAACAAGGGCGATTGCCCCAAACCCATGGCGTGTCTGCATAAGGTGCCCACGCAGACTCACGTGAAACATATAGTTGGTAAATGCAGCGCAAATGGGTCCAATTACAAGCGGGGATGCTGAACCTTGTACGCGCTTCGTAGTGCATCACCATTCACCTCCACACAAAGTCTCTTTTTCCGTTTTGCATGCTTTGTTGTTCATGGGAGCCACTGAGCACGTTTCGAAACACATAAATGAAGTGTTGCTCCAGTAAGTCAATTGAAGGGATGCCACAATCGACTTCATGTGCTGCTATTCCACCTCGGCGCGGGCGGCAACATTCCGGACTCTCTGTATTAGTAATAACAGCACTAAGCTCATTGCAAAGCACGTACCGCGCTTGGAAGCACGCGGGCAAGCTTGCGCGAATGCCATTTAGACAGCTGAAATTTGCAATGGATGAGCCAATGATCGCCTTGGAGAGATTACGAAGCGACCAACGGTCAATCGATTGTGTGCGCTCCGCGCAGGGCATTGAACACGACTTGGGGCCTTACCGATTCTTCGAGCGCGTCGGTTTCGATTCGCCGCCGCCGCCAGGTGTGACTGGACGCCCCGCGATGGACAAGCAATGCAATTCTCGGTGCTGGCAGGAGTGGGGCCGCCGCTGGCGTCTCAAATTTGCTGCGAGGACGGCTGCCCTGTGGGGACAGGCACAGGCGGCGCAGCACGCGCGAAGAAACGTCAGTCTGCAGCACGCTTGAGCCCCAAGCATGGGGCCCTGACCCAGGGACCCCAGTCAGCAGTGTTACTGGGGACCAGCCCACGGTTCACAGACCGCCAGCGACTAGCGCTGAGGAGGGGTGCTCGTTTCTGGCGGCGACGACCAAAGAGCCCTCTGGAAAGGGAGGAAGCACTGGCATTGCTCACCGCGCGCTGTGGCAGGCGGGCTGCAGCAGCCAACAGGGGGCGTAGGGGAGTGACAAACGAACAGTGAGGCGCCGGCGCAAAGAGCCGGCTGGCAGCAGGAGGAGACGCTGCTGCGGGAGCTTGGGGCCCGGCCCTAAAGCCACTGTGACCCGCAGCGACTGTGAGAAAAGCCAGTCACAGTGGCGGCTGTCCTGCCGTTCGAAGCGGCTTTTATTTCCGCTGCGCAGATGTTTCGCCGCAGCTTCCTCTGTTTTTTTTTGGCCACGACCGGCGAAGCTTCTTCGTCCATGTTCAACATTTCGGCGTCAGCTGAATCCCCGTTGAGATGCATTGGGATGTTCTCCTCGGGCACAATACAGGCATGTTCGTATCTAGCATTGGATGTTTGTTTGTTTTTTACATTATATTCGATGAATTGATTTTGGAAACTGCTGTGCTTGGGCAAAATAGGAAGCTGGAAGCTACCTCCTTGCCTTGTTATGTAAAATGAGTAATGATGACAGGCATGTTTATCGACAGCAAGTTTCATGTTCTGGACAGTGGATACTGTATGGCCATCATATCCTGAGTATGGACCCTGCATATCAAGGATGTATGCGGGGCCAATATACTGCACATGGTGGCACTGCCACCGGGCCATATCCTGGACATGCATATCCAGGGCATGCAGCTTTCTCCGACGGTGCAGTATTTCTGTGTAATGTGAAATCAAACACGGTTTAGCTTAGGTGTCGTTTAAGCGCTTTCGTCCAGCGGCTGAAGGATACCGGACACGCCGTGTACACGGGCAGAGGGGCGCCTTGCTTGAAGATGAAGTGCTGATGTCTAAGGGAAGACACTATGTCGATTTCGGTATGTTTAGTGTCAATTTGGCGCGAAGCTCAGAATCCCCCCACACAAAAGAACCTCGCATACACTTGCCTAGGCGGGGATCCCCTTGGTATGATCTGTTTCTCTTTCTCTTTTGTGATAAGTCTCACCCCCCACCCCCCCCAATCCCAGCCCTTAGCGTCAATTCTTATGTCGGTGCAAGAATGACTCAGCGACATCGCCGGGCGATGGTATGCAGCTTTTAAATGGTTTCTAGGACAAAAAAATTGCGCTGACTTTAGTGGTTTAAAAACAGAATTCCAAGTGCCTTTATAGGCGAGGCAGGCAGCCTCAATGGCTGCAAATTATTCCATTCAATCCCATTCTAAGGCCTTCTTTGACGATCGAACACTTGCAGGAGGTTTAAGAAGAAATCACGGGGTGTTTCCTGCCTATCAGCAGCGTTTTTGGGCATCTTCTTTCCTTGTGTCGATTTTGTGGCTATTGCATAATCTCTTAGCGTCACAGGACTGGACCCCCCCCAAACGTCAATTTGAGGCTAAGGGTACCATATCAACATAGCGTATTCCCTAAAGCAACAATGTTTCCACTCACGAAGCGCGAAGCGAGTTGTCATTGAAGTTGTCTTGCTGCATTGTCTTGATTCTATTCAGCAAGCAGAAGGCACATCAGGATCCGTGGAGTATGATTGTGGCAGTCAAGTACTGAAAGTTGGCTGCGATCATATCAATTTGTCCGTTGCAATCAGAGAACAAACGGCATTGCCAACAGCAAGCAGCGCACCCGATGGAAGCCACCATAGGCTAGGTTGCTTTCCTCAAGCCTTCAAATAAGAAGCAAGTGAAGCATCTCACGTGCCGTCCATATCACAGCAGCTCCGCCTGGTGTTTAACACCAGGCGTGCATTGTTGCGGAACATTGAATTGGCAATGTTAATTAACATTGCGCATTACGTAATGTGCAACTATGGATGACGCATCGTGGAAACACGAATAGGATTCGTGTGTTCCCCAATGCAGATGTTTGTTGAACTGTCGCATAGGTATTCCGCCCCTAATGCGCATGATTAACGATTGAGCGTTGGCGCCCACATTGCAGCCGCGTTGTGGCCACAATGGTGCTCTGCCCATTGTGTTTTATTGAACGGTTCACGCACACAGCACAATGAATTATTCTAAATGTGAACTGCTGAATGAAACACCTCCATATGGCGGAATGGAGGACGCCCCAGCTTCAGCAGGAACCAGTGCAAAAGCCCAACCAAGCGCCAAGCCCAACCAACTGTCACGACTTCCTACTTGTGCGGCATGCCTGTTTACGCGCTCGAACGGAAGCTGAGAACCACTCGAATGGGCGCTCAGTTTCAAAGGTCATCAGCAGAGATTCAAACGGGAGTTCTGGCCATGACGTTCATTTCTCCCGGTAGACTCGGTAATTGGGGCTGGCTCACACAGGTGACGCTTGGGCCAACACGGGTGTGAATTGGGCTGCTGTTGTAAGCCCATCCCTGGGTAGGTGGACGCAGACAAGATAGTATTGGCCCCCTCGCCCAATGCGTTCTGCACTGTGGACAGTATAAGACGCCTCATAGCGTTCATCGGCCATCAAACAGAGGACACAACAGGCGGGCGCTATGGGGAAGCAAACCAGTGTCTTAGAGAGGCTCATTTGTTGCTGCTACTTTCACGAGCACAATCTGATCCCCACGCTTTCTTGTCAAAACAGATGAAGGTCCGCCAATAACGCTGCTCGCCTGTGGGCGTCAACTCTACGAATTGAATCAAAGAGCCTGTTGCCCCTCCTGCGGTTATTCCCTCGCTGTCTGGGCAATTGTCCCAACTGTGTAAGTAGGGTATTGCCCAAAATGCGTAAAGGGGGCCTGCGTCATGTGGTAAGTTGGTCCGCAGTTTTGACAACGCACATTCGCCACAAACGGCCCGGAGCATGTTGCACAGCACCGTAAATGCGCATGCTCCATCCGACATTATTGCGGTCGCCATGTCTGTCGGGCACCCCAAAGCGCATCGCCGACAACAGTTCCAAAATTCCAATCGGCCGAGCTTTAATTGCAGAGTATTACTCTGCAACTACACTCTCCTTAAAGGGGCACGACACTACTAACCAGTCCATCAATTGTGTCAAACTACTCTGAGCACCCCATGGGACTGCAGCGCCACCTTGATTTGTTGGAACCCTTTCTGTGTTTCGCACAGTTGCTTGTCCATGCCACATCTCCACTGATTTGTCCACAGCACGCTGCCCGCCACTGCTGTAAACCTAGCGTTTGTTGGGCTGTCAGAGCAACTCCTGTTCGATTTAATTGCAGGACCACCACATTTCGTGAAACAGGCACGTTGCCGCGAAGGCTTGGAAAGTGTTGACATACGCGACTTGCAACAGTACAATGTCTGCGTCTGTGACACGTGCACATTTTCATGAGCTGCTGCAGTTGGGAGCGAGCCACATGGGTGCCACCGGCTCCTCCTCCACCGAGGCACCTCATACGAAGGCCAGAACACTTTGGAGTCTCCCAGCAACATCCCTACTGCTGTTGGTCCAGGAAGCCAGCCCAGGGGCTCTCTGAGTCAACAGCAGTAGACATGTCATTGCGAAACCCAGTGCATTACACAACTGCAGTACACCAATTCGACCGACGGCCTGCCTAAAAGAATCAACAGACATCACAGCCAGTGGCCCACACAGCCTGAGGGCAGCAACGCCCAGGCCCATCTCCATTCGACTCCTATCCTGCCGAAAGCCTGGGCATAGGCCAGCTCAAGTCCTGTCTCGGCGGCTCCACGCTCGCATTCCTGCACCACTGGTAGAAGCTGGGCTCGCTTTCCATCGGGGAGCCTGCCATCGCATACTTCCAGTTCAGCTCAGACCCAAGAACGGGCCTCGAGAACTGCAATTTGCGATCGATGTCGGCGTCCTTGTGCGCAGGGACGACCGTCACCAGGACGTGCCGCATCTTTGGGTGCCCCTCCACAACCACCTGCAGCTCTGGTATGGGGCACCTCCCCTTTGACAACTCCACCGCCTTCCTCTCACAGGTCTCCACCATCGACGTCGCTTCGTCACTCAGCCCCTCCCCAGACTCCCTGGCAACCTCTCGCCCCACCCACACAAAGATCTGGGCCCCGTGGTCCAGCAGCACGGCTGTGTCCGACCGCAGTGCAATGTCCAGTGGGGGGATTTCCCGGAAGATGAACAGCGCGGGGTCCAACTCGTACATCTTGGGCACGAGCATACGCTCGGCCATGGGGCAGGCGCATGCAAGGAAGACTGAGTGCAGCAGTGAACGCTCCGCAACATGGGCGTAAGGAGTCAACATCGTGCTGCGCTGAAGGTGGTACAGAGTCTGTGCAACGAACCCCAGCTCCTGCAGACCGGCAACAGATTGTTTAACAAATGCTGTCAAAACCTGCTCATATGGCGATGTACCGCTGGTCTGGTGAAGGTCAATAGGAGCATGTACGTTGTGTATATTAGACAGCTGTCTTGCAACTACACGCTGGTAAGCGAAAGTGGAATAGGTGATCATCGGCTAAAGCCCCACAAAGGGGTTGCTCTAAACGGCAGCATCCACACTCCCCTTTGAAGGGTAAACAGAAGAGTGACGGGGTGCTGCACACACGATGCAATGCAAAGCGTGCGGCAAACGTTGCGGGCTGTGCCTTTGCAATCAAGCCTGGTGGCAGGAGTATGAACAATGCTGGAATGGCACATCGATGTAATTGCAGCCTCTTCGATTCCTTAGTTTCTGGACAAACGATGCACTCACTGCACAGGTAAACACATTTGGCTTTTGGCACATGTACAATGGAGAAACATGGTCACCTGCAGCAAAATCAACAGGGTGTTCCAGGAAGCACCAAGCCAATACCTGTGGACAAGACCATTTCTGCTGCAGGCCCAGCCCCAGAAATCCAGTGGCCTTCTTTTCCAGCAACTTTCCGAATTTCTGTCCAAGGTAAGTCAGTTTGGCACTGAGCCCCATTCTGACATCCTCCGAACGGCGAATGCTGTGTGCTGCTTCTGCTCTTGCCAGCTCCAGGACAATTTTCTTGGCAAGGAGTACAGAGGCTGGGATGGCATGGATGCTACGAAGATACTCATTGAGGTTTCCAGTTGGCACAATTCTGCGGGTGACAACACGATCCCTCTTCCCACCCAACCTGTCCGTCCAAGCCATGATCACCTGCGACACAAGGCAGAAACTCATCCTGTTATACGGGAAGATATGAGCTACCACAAAGCAGACTCAACTGCAGCAGGAAAGGCGAAGTCAACAGAAACCGAGGTTACCAAAGGAAGCAAAGCTTGCCATGCCATGGCCCACAGACCTCTGAAACCTTGTCAACAGTCAGAAGACAGGCTAATGCACAGTCTTACACCTACCAGGTAATATTGGGTGTTGGTCAACCTAATGGAAGGTGTTCGCGTTTCCCAGATCCACCCCAACCCCGTTGTGAACAAGAACCTTTGAAAAGCAACAACAACAACAACAACAACAAAACTCGTGAAACTATTTTCCATGCTGTTGAAGATAATGCAAACGTGTTTGAGTGCAACAGAAACAGCACTACATGATCAGTTGGTCATGTCCAGTAGAGGATTCCAAATCCAATCCGAATGGTGACCAGTTCACATTGTCAACAACGACACTGGCTGATTTTCGGTGGCAATTCCAATGCCAGGACTCCAAACACGTCTGGAACAGCCACAAACAACATTTCTTCCAGTCTGCAAGGTGCATCACAAGATTGTACCGTGTTCTGCTTGTCACTTGTGCATACAATCGATGCATGCAGGCCATGACTGGGCCACTGGGCCACTGGAAGGTGATCCCAACCCCCACACTGTCAGCCTGTGACTGGACGCGTGAACAGCCACACGGCTGCAAGAATAGGAGCAATACCTGCAGAATCAGCTCTTCCTGGCCAAAATCCCTCGTTGCCTCCACCCATAGCCCAAAGGACTTGCCTGCATCCATGCTGCCAACACTGCAGGCATTCGAAGACAGCTTTCGCACACCAGATTCACAGGGTCTGAGTGGGCCGGCAACACTGCCAATGATGGCTGCCAATTTGAGGCCATGTGACAACCTGACGTCCAGAATGCCATGGGACCCAAATTGACGATCGAGGGAGGCTGTCATGCTCATGGCAAGGAGCTGTGATGTCACAGATGTGTGCATTGTGAAGTTGCCACCTGAAGCACGGGAAAATGGTTCTAGGATGGTGGCATGGCCTGCTGCTGGCCCTACAGCGAATATGTCCACAGGGATACCTGTGCCAAAGCGCATGCACAAACAGATTCAGCAAATCCCTTGATTCTTCAACAGCGCTAAGTATGCCAAAGACGGCCATGGACAAATAGACATCAATCGGTAGTCTTGTAAGGCTAAACAACAGCTGGAATCATGTCTGCAACTGCACAAACATGTGCCAGCTCTTGAGGATCCCACTACTTCTATGATGTGGACACATGAATCCAAACTCTGAGTCACCACACCTAAACAGTCAGAAACGCCAGCAGCCCCAGCGAGCCTGGCACAGAAGAAGCAAAGTCAATTAAGATGCTGCTGCAAAAACTTTCAGATGAGAGAGATTGTGGCAAGCTTGTCCACTTGGTGACTCCTCCCCAGTTTCCACTGACAGCTCGAGAGTTCTACACAGTTGCTTGCACTGTATGAGCCAGCAATCCAGAACCATGCCTTCATCGCGCACAGTTATGCTTATGGCTGGTTTGAATGGGCTGATAAATGTTGACACAATTGAGGTGCCAAGGGTCAAGAATGCACTGAATGGCAACTCAGCAGGGCCCACAGCAAGTATACCACCATTTTGAGATGGACAACATGCAAAGCAAGCACAGGGCACCCGCTGAGCTCCACAGCCACAAGAAAGTGCACTTGCTCCATGTTCCTCACCAGCTCCGTGTGCCATCGCTGCCAGCCTGGCAAAGAAGCTCAAGCCCTCCTTCACAGAGGATTCATCCCCTTGCTTGTCGATGGCATCCAAGGCCACTGCCCCCGGGCCATGGGTTGGACCGCCTCCTACCAGCGCCATCACCCTCCCTTCTGCCCCTCTCCTTGCAGTTGCACTCTGATCACCAGTGCTCTGCCCATTCCTGAAGTCCTGCATCAGGTGCAAGGCCTCATGCAAGCCAGGGCCAAGGCACCTGGGCCGCTCCATGGCCACCAGATCTGGTCTGTAGGGTGTCAAGCTCTGCACGATAGACTCTGCAGTGGGCAAGCAGGAACCGATCTTCGAGAATTTTGGGCAGGCGCCAAGGAACAGGGCCCTGGCACCGGGATGCAGGCTGCCGATTTGCCCCGGCAGCGTGTGCGATTCTAGGATCCCTGGCTTGGTTCCCAAGTTGTGCACCGACACGCAGGCGTCCAGGGAGATGATGGCAACTGGCGTGTCAGGGTGGAGTTGCCGCAACACCTGGCAGCCAGCATGCAAAAACACTCAACACAGTCCACAGCAGCCCGGGGAGGGCTTCATCAGGCAGCCTGGATGGGGAGAAAGTGGCGTTGTACAGACACATCAGAGATGGTCCACGTGATAACATTGCAGAAATAGACAAAGCAGGACTTCCGAAGTACATTCAAGGTAACAAAGGGGCATATCCGAATACACATCTACATTGCCCAGGATGCACCCAGCATCCCAAGGAGTTAGCTCATTCAGGCTTAGATCTGCCAAAGCGATGCCTCCCGCCGTGCAAACAACAACATCTGCTGTTGACCTGATCACAGGGGTATTGGTGCAACAATCACAGATATCACAATAATCCAGATCTGCTTTCTGTGCCCGCCAAAAGACATGGAAATGCATTGCCCTACCTGAGCCACTGCCTCCTTGACACTGACAGCATCGTCAACATCAATTGTGGAGTCCAGCAAGAACAGGACAGGCCCAGTGGGCAACACCTCTTCACCCAGCGATGATTCTGGAAGGGGAGATTCTTCAACGTAGTCCACTGCTTCTGACGTCAGCTCAGCAGACACCTACAGTAATGGACGCCCACAGTGCAGTCCTCAAAATTTAACCACAAGACACACCAGTCAGAGTCTGCGCATTGCCAAACAGCAAACCTGGTAAGTGATTTCCAGTCTGTTTGGCTTTGAGGAAGCTTTTCGTTCGTCACGTCCCATGGTCTGCTACTAGAATGATGCAGCATGAAGGAATGAATGCAGCGACATGCTAAGGTCAGCAGGGAAGAACCGGGTAATGACAAAGCCATTGGTCACCTGCAGCTCCTCTCCAACCATGTCTGTCTTGGTGGCATTCTGCTGTCCACAAAAGTTGCATGTCCACTGCCCTGTAGACACCTCAACCTGCCATAGAGTTTGCAAACATTTGCCATCAAGACTACAGCTGATACCTTGCAATGCAGATAACCTCAAACAGCCACAAACGTCTGCACCATGCATTCAATCAAACTCAGCACAGAGACCTCGCAGGCTGTGCACCAAGGCTTACATTGAGCAAAAGTTCCATCTGATACTCAAGAAGGCAACTTTCTTATCTGCCAAATTCTTTGCTATATGGCAACCGGCACACCCAAAGCTTGTGCCAGTCTGAGGACCAGTCCTCTGGCATTCCCACCCCCTTGTGCCATGGTTCCTCACCGGCGGGTTGGTCAAAAATTTGCAGTACACCACCAAAACCAGAATAGAGACAGCAACATGTGGGCTGAAACAGCCAGGTTCAGACCCAGCCACCCTTCCCCTGGATGACACTGGTGACCAAGGCTCACCCTGCAGTAAGGGTTGATGTATGCTCCGCACCGCGAACAGCACACAGGTGACTGCCGCAGCAATGGAAAATTGGTTGCGCTCGGGGGCATGCAGTTCACCACCGCTCCCACCGGGATCCCAAGATTATTCGCGAAGGCCTTCTGATTGATTATCTGGAGACAGGCCAAGCAATCGAGTCCTCAGCATGTGCAGTGACTAACCGTGCACACCATGTCACTCGGGCGTCCATCCATCCTCGTCACTTTGAAGCACATTCCCACCGGCCATCTTCCATCCAGACATCCCCTCGCATCCGACTTCTAGCGACAGTTGCAGCAGGAAAGGATATCCCACAATATTCCCAACAAATGCACAACAAGCTGATCAGCGACGTGCAAGCTGGATCTGCGCGCCGAACCCACCCAATCGGCGCACAACGAAACAGGCAAGATCAGCGGCCCTACAAAGGCCGAGAATGGGCGTCGTGCGCCAGCAACGCCGCTCCGCACCGTGCTCGAGGTGAGGGACACCACCTCCTGGCTCATCGTCACCGACTCGTAGTCCTGGCCGCCCTCCGGCAGGTAGGTGCTCAGCGACGGCAGCGTCATCAGGGGAGATCCCGTGGAGGCCTGCACGGCTATGGGCGGCAGGGCGCCCTGCTCGCCGGTGCCCTCCTCAACCATATTGCCAGGGAGCCCAGCGCCGCGCCGCGCCTCTGAACATTCGAACAGCATTTTGACCGTTTTCTATTCAAAAAAAACTCAAAAGCGTCTTACCAAGAAAAGAAGGGAAGAAACATGCACATTTTCCATCCCAGTAATGTACTAGAGGTGCGCAAAAGGGCGCCACCCAAAAGGGGGTGCCAGGGCGAGGACAGAAACTCAATGGTGGCGGGCAGGTGCAAGCAGGGGCACGGAGACACGCGCGGCCGGCGGCACTGGGAGCGGATTGTCAGCGCCGCCGCTCGCGGCTCACGTGCTGTCAGCGAGCTGGACCATGGCGTCCGATGATCTGGGCGCGTGCGTGGAGCGGCTCCTGGGCAGATCGTGGGACGACAGCCTGCGGGCGCAGGAGGGCCTGTTCCAGAATTTCTTGAAGGAGTTTCGAAGAAGCGGTGATCCCAGCGTCGAGGCTGAGGAGGAGGGGGATGTCGACTCTGGGGGGAAGCAGGCGAAGAGGAGGTGCCTGGAAAAGGCGGGGGGGGAGATCAAGGCAGGCGCGGCGCGGGGGGGCCCCTGCGCTCATGATGGCGCCGCGGGAGGAGACGTGGAAATGGGCGAGGCGGTCGCGCCTGAGGGATGTGGTTTCCAGCCGGGGAGCCGAGCTGCGGACTCATGCCCGGAAGCGGAGGGTGGGGGTGATGGGGACGGGGGGGAGGGACGGGGTGCCGGAGGCAGCCTAGCAGAGTCGCCAGAGGTCGGCGGCGAAAATGCCGATTCCACCTTTCGAGGCGCGGCCCCCGCGAACCCCTCGACTGTTGATGAGGATCGGGGGCGACTGGGCCCCGAGTTTGTGCCTTTGCCCCCGGACGGCGGCCGCCCAGACGGGATGCCAAGTGATGGCCAAGACGGGAGAGCAAATGATGGCCCATACGATCCCAAAATCGACGAGGGAGAGGGGCGGCCCCTTGGCCGGGGCGAAGACCCGCAGGTGCGGCGCGCCGACGACGACGCCTCGTGCAGCATCTCCTTCGGCTCGTCGCCGAAGGCCACAGGGCAGACTTCCGGTCGGGAGAGCATCCTTGCGGCGTCCTCTCCCCAGCCGCCCTCCTCCGTCGGCCCCGGGTGGGCCACGCGGACGTCGCTGCTGTACGGCGACCTGCCTGAATCGGACGGGACCGGCAGCCACGCACCGCCGCCGCCCCAGGCGTCTGCTGAACAAGCACCCCCAGCGGCGGGTGCGGCCCCGCCCGTTGTGACGCATCCCGCGTCTGAAGGGGTGGGAACCACGCAGCCTCCCCAGACGCCCGTGGAACCTGGCCCTGTGTTCGCTCCGGCGGATTGCGCATCCACCGTGACGCCCGCGTTTTTGGTGACCAGCAGCCGGTTGAATTGGGTGCCGGAGTCTGTCGGGCAGCCTGGGAGTGGGGGTTCTGAGATCGGCCGGCCCAAAGAGGGGGAGGGCGCAAACAGGGACAGGAAGCCCCTTGCGCTGAATTTGAGCCAGGAACCGGGCAAGGTGTGCGGGAGCTCCGGCGGGCAGACAGCGTCGCAGGGTGGAAGGACCGATGACAGTGCCGCGTTCTGCACGCCCTGCAGCCAGTCGGATCAGCCCACGCCAGCCATGGTGGTGTATTCGGTGCGGAGGAGCAAGCCAACGGAGTACCAGATCACGCCATACAGGTGGGAGGACATCGCTGGATCCTTTGGGCAGCGGAACTCGTCAGGGTGACTCTCAACAGACTGCTTCTTTGCGATTCAGTGCTAGTGGGAAAATGGAAAGGTGCATTGACTGCCCCCAGGAGGGCAATGGCAGATGCCTGCTTGGCATGGTCATTTTAGAGGTGACCGGCCCACCTGAAAGCCACAAGTTATAATGGCAGCCACTCTGTTGCTTGCAGTCACCTTGTTTGGCCGGCATTCTGGCCAGGTTTTCTTGCAGCACGGCCTGTGCTTCCCTTGCTTTGTGATGGGGTTGTTCGGGTGCACCACAAGTTTGTCATCGAGTGATGGCGATGCTGTGATGGTGTGTACCTGCAGGTCTGACAGCGACAGTGAGGAACTCAGCAAAGGCAGGAAGCCCATTCCTGACTGGTGCACAGATCAAGATGTTTTAGAGGAAGAGGCGAAGGCCCAGAACAAAACTGAAAAGGCCAAGCTGACTAAATTGTTTGGGGCAGGCAAGATGTTCTGCAATCTGCAAGAGCTGTTTGGCAGGTGAGCAACAGGTGGTGGTAACAGCACCCTCCTGCATGTACAGTCAGTGGAACTTGTTTGCTTGTGGAAGTTGTGGAATCACATGCTTCAAGCTTCCTATGCAGAGCACGTGCTGATGCCCCTAATGGGCTTGGCCAGCATGTGTTTTGATTTCAGGTTTGACTGATGCAGGGAACCACTGACCTCCCATAACCCAGCCAAGCGCTTCTGAGCAGTCTTCAAGATGCTTGTTTGAGCGGGCTGCGATGGCAAGCTGCCTCCTGGGAACTGTCCAGATATCAGCGAAGTGGCAGCCACACCAGCGCTCAATGGCACCCTGTGGGCACTGCAGGCATTGCGACAGACGCATGGTCCTTGCAGTGAAGCAGTGAATAAAGGCAAAATGTGGATTGGCCAATTCTGACAGGGGTTGCAGCCAGTGGAGGCGTTCATGCCGCCAGATGCTCCATCATTGTAGACAGTGTCACCCGTTTCTCCTGGAGCTTTCTTTCATAGAAGGGCAGTTCATTGTTCAACTCCTGCGATTGGACTCTGACAAAACTATTCAAGGCAGGATTAAAAAAGCTTTCAAACACGGGAAATTTCACTGACTACCTTGATGGCACACAGCCTCGATTGTGACATTGGTTGCGCTTCTTGCTCCAGCTTTGTTTCGACTGCGTGGACCAAAAAGGCAGTCCTGCTGGGTGTGGAAGAGTACTTCCAGCCGTGGCAGCTCAGGGAAAATCTGGGTTTGCTTGGATCATTGTGTGCAGTCCCCTTCTGAATTACATCATGCCCAGCGACCGATCCAAGTCTCAGCATACAGCTGCCAGAGGGCGTGCAGCAGCCTGCTGAAACCGTCAAGTTTTGGCTCATCCCCTCAAACGACCCAGTGTGGCCTTGGAATCCAATGCACCCATTTGCATCAAGTGTGTGCTGCCGTCGCGGATGTTGTTCACCCTCCTGTTACGGTGCACAGACCTGCGACTCCCACTCTGCGGCAAAAGCCCGTCTAACCCCTCAGAGGGCGTCCAGCACTCCATTTGTGGCCTGATCACCACAGCGCCGGAGGCACCACTATTTGGCACGCCAATGCCGCAGCTTCACCAATTCCCAACCCATCGTTCAGTCGGGAAAACAGGCCAGCCCGGGCAGCTTCACCCATGCGTCCGCTGCCAAGCAGGATTTTGTGCGGCGCTATGCTGCTGTGCCCAGCATGATGCCCGTCAGGCCTGCTTTGAGGCCCTCGGGCGCAGCAACGACTCTGGTACCAGCATTTTTGGCAGGCTCTCCCCTTTCACGTCGACAGCTGCGCGTCCAGCCGCTGGAACTGCTTCATTCCCTCCTCCTCCGCCTCGTCCGGCTCCGCCTGCACCACGCTGCTCACCTCCGGAATGTAGTGCTTCATCATGTTCTCGATCCCGCTCTTCAGGGTCAGGCTCGACGACGGGCAGCCGCTGCACGCACCCACCATCTTCAGCGTCACCACGCCCGTCTCCTCGTCGAACGCCTGGAACAGCACGTCCCCGCCATCATCCTGCACCGCGGGCCGGATGCGCGTCTCCAGCAGCTCCTTGATCATGGCCACGACTTCGTTGTCATCGGGCATGATGGTGGTCGCGGGGTTCGCCTGGGCCGTGTCCAGGAGCAGGGCCTCCCCGGAGGCGAAGTGGTCGGTGATGGCCGCGAAGACGTCGGGCTTGAGAACGCCCCAGCTGGAAGCCTCGGTCTTGGTCACTGTTATGAAGTCCGAGCCGAAGAACAGCGACTTGACGCCGTCGATGCCGAACAGCCGGCGCGCCAGGGGGGACGCCATGGCCTGCCGCGCGGTCTGGAACTCCGCTGTGCCGCTCTCCATCACCTTGCCGCCCGGCAGGAACATCAGGCTGGCGGGGTTGGGCGTGCTCTGCGTCTGGATGAACATCCCCCGCCTCTGGGTCCAGGCACTCAAGGACCAGGGGCCTGTCGACGGGGACAGATCTCCGCGGCGAGGCGCCAGGGTGAGCGCCGAAAAGAGGCGCTCCTGGCTGAGCTGCGGGCCGGGAGCGGCGCAAGGCGGGGAGGGGATGGCGCAGTGGGCGGGCGCGGCACCGATGAGCGCCATCTGGCCATCGCGGCACATCCGGGACATGCGCTGCCAGGTGCGCAGCATCGTGCCAGGGGTTCGTGGGAAGACGCAGCCGAACGCGGCAGGGCGCTTAACCCAGCGCTTGCTCGTCCGCTCGGCCGCGGTTGGGTGCGCGAAAGGTGCCGGAAGGTCGCGCAGCAGTATTAATGTCTGGGCGCTGCCGAATTTCCGGAGTTTTTGAGGAATTTTATTTCCCGAAATACTGCGATAGTACGATAGTGTGATACCGTACAACAGCACGGAAGTGATTTGACCACGACAGTGGGCTAGGACACAGGTCGCAACTCGTAGCAACAATCTTGAGGTCTTTCGGTCTTGTTTCAGACGAAGCGGCAGCATTTCTGCATGGCAACGTGGTGCACGGCTTGGTGCCCGAGCCTCTCCGAAGACTGAGAAAATTTCCACCCACGCTGAGGAGAGACGCGCAGTCAAGTGCTGTCCGTTTCACTAAGCTGCGATCACGTGACTTCGCTGTGGGACTTTCTGCTCATTTTTTGGGTTCCCTGCCCGCGCTTTGGCTGTGAAATTCATCCCTGATTGACATGAGGCCCTGGCCGGACTTCAGGGATGATGAATGCAACACCAACAACGCTATTGTCGGTACGCTACCAGTCATCCCACAAACACATCACATACAGCATTTTTAAACTATTCCGTTAACTCGCTTTCAATCAGGTTGTCTCAATAACAGTAGGTAAGGAAAACAACAAAGACACAGGAGTGACTCATCCCACCAAAACGCACAGCAACCATGGGTGATGTACAGTTTGCCGGACAGGGATGACAATGCTGAGAGTATTACTGGTTCAGCAGCTTTGCGCGGAACACTGGATGGGTGTGTAGGGGCACTGATACCGTGGCCCACAGCCAGCACCCTGTTGGCCTAAAGGCTTGCTTTACCCAACTAGACAAACACAGTTTGCGGATTGCCACCAACAAGGGCACTGCCATGCAGTGCTCACGTCGACGGAGCTTGCCTCCAAGTAATACGCACAGCCGTGTCTGGCCCTGAAGCATCTAAACCAGCAGCCACGCAGGATGACAAGTGCTTGGCATCGTCCGCACTCACTGGACAGGACCTGTTTGCATGCTGATGCTGTGTCGTCAGCAGTTCCTTGTTGTGGCAGTTACAATAATCCAGACCACTGCTGCTGGGCACGTAGACAATTTTGCGTCCAGGAAGTCTTGGGTAGTAAGATCAGTCGCCAAGAAATATGTTTAATTTACAGGCGTCGTGTCAATGTACATGCAGCACATGGGCAACTGAGGATCCAAAAGGATCCTGGTAGACAACAAATAAGACGCAAGGCTCGTAGCTTGGACCAAAGTCGGCCAACGTTCCATGCAGATGCACAGGGGGCCCACAAGACAAACCATGGGGTCTCCAGCCCTTTCGTCAAGGGCAAGAACTAGAGCTTTCCACTTGCCATTGCTGGTTTCTGTTGAAGCGCTGCCTCCTAGGCCACTGTCTTCTGAACAAAGAAATTTTCGGCCCTCAAAAAATATTGCTTTCATACATGCATATGTCATGCCTTCGCTTCATCAAATTGGCCGGAATTTGTGGAGCAATACTGTGCAAAGGCCACAAACGGGGGCCTTCATTGTCGTGGAGGCCATCACAGCCAACTTATTCCCAGTCCCAATGGCGATGACCACTCACACTCTTACGTTCCAGACTCCATTGAGGATCGCAAGGAATGCCTTGTCATCGTCCACGCACAGGCTCACCATCCTGCACACACAAAAACAAGCCCATAAGCACAATTGGTGGGCAGAACACGACCTGTTCTTACCCCATGCACTTAGATTCCCTCTTCCTTTTTCTTTCAGACTTTGTGGCCAGCCACTGCATTTTCAGCAGATAGAGGACTAGGGAGATTATTTGCAACACCATAACAGCAGCTGACATTGGACTTACCACCAACATCGCCTTGTGCTTGCCTGGGTTCGCATTGGCCACTGGACAAGTAACTGTATTTCAATCAAGGAAACAAATTCCTCAAATTCAATTCTAAAACCGAAGTTGTCATTTTTGAA